AATCTAATTCTAACTTTGATTTTATTTTAGTAGCTTGTTTTTTCTATTGTTAAACTTGCATCTTTTTCTTTTCTTTGATTGACTTTCTTTAAATGCAAACCTTCCTAAATGCATGTTTTAGACTAGTCTGTACATGTTGCATTTATAGAGGTTTGACTGTAGCTATCGATAATTTGTTTTACGAGAAACTTCATCACAATGTGTACTAATATTTTCAACTTTTTTTGGTTTGTTTATACCAGATTTTCAACAAGCATAATCATGGTGTCAGATAATAGATTTATCAATTAAATCAAGATCTTTACAATACTTAATAGCTACAAAACCATATTGTTTTGAGTATACATCAACTGCACTTTGTATAGCATTCTAATCATTAAAAAGACTCCCTACTTGTAGTATTAATTTATTAACATTTATAGACAAATTACTATCTATCTCCAAATTTTCAAAGTTAGACAAATTATTGTTTCTTTAAATTTCTCAAAATCAGGCAACTCAGAATTCATAGAACTCTACAACTCAGAATTCATAGGACTAGACAACTTCAGATTTGTAGAATCCAACTCTAAATTTATAAAACCAGGCAATTTCAAATTTGTAGGACCAGACAACTCCAAATTCATAAGACCAGGCAACTCCAAATTTATAGGACCAGACAATTCCAAATTCATAGAACTAGGCAATTTCAAATTATAAAACTAGGCAACTCCAAATTTATAAGACCAGGCAACTCCAATTTTATATGACCAGATGACTCAATATCCATATGACCAGACAACTCAATATCTGTATAACCAGACAACTCAATATTTATAGAACCAGATAATTTATAACTTGCAGAACCAAACAATCTATAGTTCACAAGACCAGACAATCTATAGTTTACAAAACTAGATAGTTCATAGTTCACAGAACCAAACAATCATAGTTTAAGGTTTAAAAAACCAGACAACCCACAGTTTAAAAAACCAAACAACTTATAGTTTGCAGAACCAGACAATTCATAGTTTATAGGACCAAACAATTCATAGTTCACAGAATCAAACAATCCATAGTTTGAAAAACCAGATACTCTATAGTTTAAAGAATTAGAT